TTTGTGGGCTGTGGGTTGGGGATGGCGTATGGATAGACAAGCTATGGTGGGTGGGACAGGGAGGAGCAGGTGTGGGGTGGGGATGTGGGACCTCAGCCCTGCTGGGCGGTGCAGGCTGTGTGTGTTGCAGCTGGGGCTGAGCAGTGGCACAGCTGAGCTGTGCGTCGTGCTGTGTTACAGCAGCACTGCTCCTGTGGGAGCTGATGGTGCTGATCCTCCAGGATGCTGTGCTCTTTTTCAGTGAAACGCGACGTCCAGGAGAACGATGAGGAGGCAGTGCAGGTCAAGGAGCAGAGCATCCTGGAGCTGGGGTCACTGCTGGCCAAGACGGGGCAGGCAGAAGGTGAGGGGGGTGGGGTGGGGGGCACATGTCCTCCAGTGCCTGTGGTGTCTGTGCTGGGATCCAGAGTGTTTGGGGCCTGAACCCGTGGAGCCCAAAGGATCTCCTGGAGTGGGGGCTGCTCTGACTGAGCCTTCAGCAGAGCTGTGTGTGGGGGGGAGGAAGGAGGGGAGAGCTGCTGCTGGGCTTTGATTAAACTTTCAGATAGTTGGGAAAGAGTCGATGGGGAGCGAAGATAGTCGGGTGTTCTGCCAGGATCACTTCTGCACTGACGCAGTGCTGAGGTCACCCAGCTGTGCTGTCTGTTCTGCTTTCTCCCCGTGCAGAGCTGGGGGGGCTCCTGAAATACGTGCGGCCGTTCCTGAACTCCATCAGCAAGGCCAAGGCTGCCCGCCTGGTGCGCTCCCTGCTCGACCTGTTCCTCGACATGGAGGCGGCCACGGGCCAGGAGGTGAGACTGCCTGCAAAGGCCTCCAGCCTCACCTCCTTAATGAACAGCTGTTTATGGTGTCCTCGTTAATGAGGAGGATGAGGGCTGGCAGAGCTGCTCGCAGGGCAGTCCTTGTCCTCTGGTTGCTCTGTGCTGAGCTGTGTGGCCGCCCCCAAGGGTGAGAGCTTCTCCTTGCAAACCAAACCCAGGTGTTCAGAAACGCTGTTGGGATTTCAGCAGCAATTCAGGGAAGCTTGGAGAACCCTGTCTTTATTTTGGTATTCCAGCACGGAAGGGTTGTGCTGGGGGTGAGGAAAAGCTCCTGAGAGCCACGTGTGTGGGGGAAGGTTTGTGCTTTGGTTCTGTGAGGCTCAGGGAAAAACCTGGCCTCGACTTTCCCTTGTGCTGGGAGCTGTGAGTCACATCTGTCACCGAGTGCTATGAGCTGTGTGTGCATTGTGAGCCGTGGGCTGGGCAGTGGTGGTTGGTGTCAGCCTGGAGTAAACCCGGAGGTGACGGCAGCTGTCCTTCCTTGGCCGTGCTGCTGGGCAGGCAGCTCAGTGCTGTTCTTTCTGCTCCCATAAGGTCGATCTGTGCTTGGAGTGCATCGAGTGGGCCAAGTCTGAGAAGAGGACCTTCCTCCGCCAGGCTCTGGAGGTACGTTGGTTACACCTCGCATCTCACAGCGGCGTTTTTCCCCGGCCGGGGCCGAACCCCAGACGGATCGCAGCGCTGCTGTGTGAGCCCACGGTCCTTTGTGCCCGCAGGCCCGGCTGGTCTCGCTGTACTTCGACACCAAGCGGTACCAGGAGGCGCTGCAGCTCGGTGAGTGCCCGCTGGGCGGCAGCAGCGGCTGCGAGCTCTGCGGAGCGGAGCTGTGCTGCTCATTCACACCGCCCCGCTCCCACGGCCGCTCCCGAAACGCTCCGCCGTCACCGCATCCCGCGGCCCCACGTGGGCGCATCTCCCGCAGCCCTGGGGATGGGGCCGCACGGGGCCCGAGGTGCCGCGCTGTGATGTAGCTGGGAGCAGTGCTGTCACTGCCACACTGTGCTGGGCCAGCAGGGCTGCGCCGCCCCATCCCAGCTGCCCTGCCTGCGCTGCTTTCTGGGCCGGGCTGGGCACGCCTTCCTGGGGAGGCCTCAGCTGGAGCTCCTCTATCCCTGGGCAGGTTCCCAGCTGCTCCGGGAGCTGAAGAAGATGGACGACAAAGCGCTGCTGGTGGAGGTGCAGCTGCTGGAGAGCAAAACGTACCACGCGCTCAGCAACCTGCCCAAGGCGCGGGCTGCGCTCACCTCCGCGCGCACCACGGCCAACGCCATCTACTGCCCCCCCAAGCTGCAGGCTGCCCTGGACATGCAGTCAGGTACTGTGAGGAGCTCAGCGCAGCGCTCCGCTCGCAGGGGGCTGTGGGCAGCCATTGATACCTGCTTTGCCCCCCTCCTCGCCCAGGGATCATCCATGCGGCGGAGGAGAAGGACTGGAAAACGGCCTACTCCTATTTCTACGAGGCGTTTGAGGGCTACGATTCCATCGACAACCCCAAAGCCATCACAGCCCTCAAGTACATGCTGCTCTGCAAGATCATGCTCAATGCGTACGTGGTGTTGGTGCTGGGACAGAGGGGGTGGCGGTGGGCAGTGGTGTGTGTGGGGGGGGATGGGGGTGTGTGTGGCTGTGGCTCAGTGCTGCCTTCCTTCCCACAGCCCTGAGGACGTGCAGGCGCTGGTGAGCGGCAAGCTGGCGCTGCGCTACGCGGGGAGGCAGGTAGGAGCACTGCTGTGTGCAGCTCATCCTGCTGTAGGGCAGCTGGGCGTGCTGTCACTGCTGGGGCGCCAATCCTCGCTCCCACTGCGTGCAGCTGGGCCCCCTTTGCCCCACTGCTGCCGATCCCCACAGCTGACCGCTGCTCCTTTCTTCCCCTGCAGACAGAGGCACTGAAGTGTGTGGCACAGGCCAGCAAGAACCGCTCGCTGGCGGACTTTGAGAAGGTGAACCTGGGGAGCTGCAGGGCTGGGGGCTGTGGTGTCCCACAGTGGGAGCCCCTCCTGTTCCGCTCTGCTGGGGGTCAGCGTGCTGTGCTCACCGATTCCTCTCCACAGGCACTGACGGACTACAAAGTGGAGCTCCGGGACGACCCCATCATTAACACCCACTTGGCAAAGCTCTACGATAACTTACTGGAGCAGAACCTGATCAGAGTCATCGAGCCCTTCTCCCGAGTGCAGGTCAGTTCCAGCAAGTGTTCCATGATCTGTGCTGCTGGGGGCTGAGGGGGGGCCCTGCAAACCTGCTGCACTCCACTCCCCTTCCACTGACACGCAAGGGGAAGGAGCAGCCCCTCCTTTGGTAGGGCAGGGCTGAGGCTGCAGCCATCTGGGGCAGGGAGTGAGTCTGGGGGGCCCTGCAATGTGTGTCAGCCCTGCAACGTGTGGCTCTGGGCCCTGTGGGGAGGCCTCGGCAGCCCTTGCCCAGAGGAGCTGCAGCTGTGCCATTGCTCTTACAGATGGAGCACATCTCCGGCCTCATCAAGCTCTCCAAGGTAAGGGCGGACCCCTTCTGTCAGGGGCTCAGCTACAGCACAGCTGTTTGTGCCATGTGTGGGGCTGCCCTGCCCTGCTCTGCCCCACGGTGAGTAGGGCGGTGCTGGGAGCGTTTCCCAACATCTGTGTGCTTCATTGCCAGGCGGACGTGGAAAGGAAACTCTCACAGATGATCCTGGACAAGAAGTTCCATGGTGAGACCCCACACCGCTGCCCTGGGGTCCCCTTGTGCCCTCTGCACCCCTCAGGCTGCCCACGGTGTGGGGTGACAATGAGGTGTCGCTGCCGCTCCGTTAATCCAGGGCGTTAATTGCTCGTTAATCAGCACGCAGCTCAGTGCTGCTCAGTGCTCAGCCATCCCGCTGGCTGTGGGGCAGAGGGCAGCAGCTCCAGCCCTACGGCAGCACTCTGGCTGTGCTTTGGGGGCACGCGGAGCCTTTGGCACCCAGTGATTGCAGCTCTGTGCCCGCAGGGATCCTCGACCAGGGCGAGGGCGTCCTCATCATCTTCGACGAACCCCCCGTGGACAAAACCTACGAAGCCGCCCTGGAGACGATTCAGAACATGAGCAAAGTGGTGGATTCGCTCTACAACAAAGCCAAGAAGCTGACATAGGTGAGAGGAGCGCAGCCTCGCCTCCCGGAGCGCTCCGTGCCCCCCCTGCTGACAGCCCCTCCTGTTGTGCAGAGCCGGCCCTGCGCCGCCGTGTGTGTGTGTGACGGGAGAGTGAATCCTTCAGGAGACGTTTTGTTCCACTTTTCGCTCGGAAAGTTTTTAATCCTCCCCTCCCGGTGCCGTTCCTGCGGTGCGGCCCCAGCTGTGCTCCTCCCTGCCGCCCCGCCGCCACTCAGCGGAACGCAGGAGACGAACGGCGGCCGCTCCGCGCAGTGGGGGCCGCTCCGCTCCGCCCCCGCGCTGCTGGTGGGGGGGGTGAGAGCCGGCCGCCCCCACCCCGTCATGGTTGGGAGCCGCGCAGTGCCGGATGCCCCACATCGCCCCGTTCCTCAGCGCTGCACCTCTTCCACCTCCTCCCCCCCGATCGCTGGGTGGGTTTTGGGCACCGCCGCTGCGTAGAACGGTTCTGTGCTGCCCACCACCGCTGTATCTGATGTTCAGATGAGTTCCAATAAAATGAGGTTTTTTTGGTTTGGGTTTTTTTTTTCTCTCTCAATTCCGCCTCGTGGTCTGCAGTGCGGGGGGAGCGCAGAGCTGCGGGCGGAGCAGCTTTGGGGGGGGGGCGCTTCGGTCCCGCAGCATCGGTGCGGGGCTCAGGGCCGTCCGCTGCGCCGCGCGGTGCCGTGAGGCTCTGCGGTTCCGCCCGGTGCCGCCCGCTCCGCACGGATCCCGGCGCTCCTCCTCCCCGCGCACCGCGGCGCTCAGCGCCTCCGTGACGCCGTGCGGGCGGCGCGTCCCCAGCGGGGGGCGTGGCCAAAGCCCCGCTCGGGGGCGTGGTCAGCGCGGGACGCGCCAATGAGGAGGCGCGGTTCCCATGAGTGGGCGCGGCCTCGCGGCGCAGGGGGCGTGGCCTCCGCTTTCCCCGCCGGCGCGCCGGACGCACGTGGCGACGCGGGAGGGGCGGAGCGGGGCCGGCGCGGGGGCGCGCACTGCGCCGGCGGGAGCGCGCGGAGCGGAGGGGCGGAGGGGCGGGGCTGAGCGCGGCGCTGAGCGGCGGCGGCGGAGCGGGGCCGGGGCCGGGGCGGGCGGCGGGGCCCGGCGGGCGGCCGGCGCCATGGGCACGGTGCTGTCGCTGTCGCCGAGCTACCGGAAGGCCCCGCTGTTCGAGGAGGGCACGGCCACGGTGGGGCATTACACGGCGGTGCAGAACAGCAAAAACGCGAAGGAGAAGGGCCTGAAGCGGCACTCGCTCATCTCGGTGCTGCCCTGGAAGCGCATCGCCGCCGTCTCGGCCAAGAAGAAAAGCTCCAAAAAGGTGCAGCCCAACGGCGGTTACCAGAGCAACGTCACCCACCTCAACAACGAGAACCTGAAGAAATCGCTCTCCTGCGCCAACCTCGCCACCTTCGCGCCCCCGCCGCCCTCGTCGTCCTCCTCCTCCTCCGCCGCCGCGCTCCCCCCGGCTCAGAAGAACCCCCCCGGGGGTCCCGCCGCCGCCACCGCCACCCCGCGCCGCGTGGTGGTCCAGGCGTCCACCAGCGAACTGCTGCGCTGCCTGGGCGAGTTCCTGTGCCGCCGCTGCTACCGCCTGAAGCACCTCTCGCCCACCGACCCGGTGCTGTGGCTGCGCTCCGTGGACCGCTCGCTGCTGCTGCAGGGCTGGCAGGACCAGGGCTTCATCACGCCGGCCAACGTGGTGTTCCTCTACATGCTGTGCCGCGACGTCATCTCGGCCGAGGTGGGCAGCGACCACGAACTTCAGGCGGTGCTGCTCACCTGCCTGTACCTCTCCTACTCCTACATGGGCAACGAGATCTCCTACCCGCTGAAGCCCTTCCTGGTGGAGAGCTGTAAGGAGGCCTTCTGGGACCGCTGCCTCTCCATCATCGACCTCATGAGCCCCAAGATGCTGCAGGTCAACGCCGACCCCCACTTCTTCACGCAGGTCTTCGCCGACCTCAAGAAGGAGAGCGGCGCGGAGGAGAAGGGCCGTCTGCTCATCGGGCTCGACCGGTGAGCCCCGCAGCGCCCCGACCGCCGCCGCCCCGAGGTGACTCCGCCGGAGGCTTCCCCTCCCCCCGTCCGTTATCCCCACCGAGGCGGCCCCGATCCGGGGCTCCCGCCGCCCCATCCGTTCTCCTTTCGAGGCGGCCCGGAGGAGGGCTCTCCTCGGCCCGCCGCCGATTCCCTTCGAGGTGAGCCCGGCACTGATTATCCCCATTGAAGTGACCGACGGAGGGGTCGTGGTGTCGGAGCCCCGCGCCGCCCCGTTCGCGTCCCCTGCGGCCGGGCGGCCGCGGCCCCCAGCGCCGACCCCACGGCGGTGACTGCGGGTCGGGGTTCCGTCGGGCACCGATCCGGGAGCGTTGGAAGGACCTCCGGACGGCATCTGCTGCTATCGGACAAACCCCAGCCAGCGGGGAACCGCCGCCAGCCCCCCACCCTCCCTTCTCTCATCGTTGCTTTGACAGTGGTATCGCGCATGCAGCCATCGGAGCGTTTTGTGTCTTCGGGAATTAAAACAAAAAAAAAAGAAAAAAAAAAGAAAAAAAAAAAGGGAAAAAACAACAACAAAAACCGCTCACGTACAGCAACCACAAAAAAAAAAAAAAAAAAAAAAAAAAAAAAAACCCAACCCGGAGCGGGGCCGCAGCCCTGCAGCACACGGTGCCATTCCTCCATCGCTGTACATTGGGATCCGCTGCAGCTCCACGCGTCCGTTTTGTTTTTTTTTTTTTTTAGTGCAATCTCCTCCGTAGATCTGTTGACCAAATTGGTGGGTATTGTTCTTAATTTATATCTTCGTCTCCTTTTTGTATGTGTGTGTTTAGTGCGTTTGTACGTATGTGTGGTTTATAACCCGACAGACCGTGTCACGGGGCCCCGTGTGCCTGTAATTTAATGCCCCCCCATCCTCCCCCCCCCTTATTTTTATTTATTTTTGTACTGTGCTGATGAAATAAAACGCACTGAGCATCCATCACACGGCACCGCTGCTCTCTGTGCTGGGGGTCGCCCCACGCCGGGCCCATCCGCCCCCCATGGCTGCACTGAGTGCTGGCGGTGGTGGCCGGAAGGTTCTTTTGTTGCTCTTTTACACGTTCAAATATCGACGACTTGAAAACAACAAATAAATAAAGAGGGTTCGCTGCAGCGCGGCCCCGGGTCAGCAGTAGCTCATTTACGGCTCATTTGTGGCTTCGCCCCAACGCAGCGCAGAAGCAGTTCGTTCGTGGGAACAAAGCAGAACTCTCTCCATATACTTTATATTTTATATATATATATATATATAAAACCAGAGCTGGAACAGATGATGCATTTCATACAGACGTCTCGTGACGTACAGCACTGCCATCTCGCAGCATCACAAATCTCCTCCACGCCGTTCCTCGCTGCGCGGAGCAGCGGGGCACAAAGTGCTGCTCAGAGCCCGGAGTGCAAAGCGGGCACCGCCAGGGGGCTGCGGGGCGGGGGGGGGTCGGGGCCGAGGGCACCCGGGTTCGTGGGGCCGCCCCTATGGCCGCAGTGCTGTGGGGCGGCCCCGCGTCCCACGGAACGGCGCCCAGGAGGGGCTGTGCGTCCCGCTGCCCTCGGGGTGGGCGGCGTTGGGCTCCGGCGCTGCCCCACGGCTCTGCTGGGATTTCTGATCTCTGCCACCGTGCTGTGAGTCCCGACCTGACCGGCAGTGCCGGGAGCGGCTGCAGCGGGGCCGCGGTGCGGCCGTCGGGAGCCTCGGGGCGCGGCGCAGCCCCACTGCAGCGGTGCTATGGGGGCACGCGGCGGCTGAAGGCCGCGGGGAACGTTTGGTGCAGGGGGAACGAAGGCAAAGCCGGCACGGAGAGACCACCCGACTGCTCCGCACCGGGAGCCGCAGCCGAGCGGGCGGCAGAGCCATCGCGCTGCCCCGCGCCGTCGGGCCGCTGCGGCGTCTTTGGGTCCTCCTGCAGACCGAGCCGGGAGGGGGGGCTTAAGGCACCGCCGTGCGGGGGGGGCGGGGAGGGCATCGGTACCATAAATGCTTTTGGGGAGAATTCAGAAGCTCTTCCCGGCGTCCCGACCCGCAGCGGCCGCGCCGAGCCGAGCCGAGCCGTCGCCGCGGCCGCAGGGCTCCCGAATTCGGGTTCGTCGAGCGCTGAGCTTCGTGGGCGGCCGGCGCAGCGCCTCCGAACGGATCCCACGGGAAGGCGGCGCCGCGGGCCGGGCGAAGCTCCGCGCCGCTCCCGGGGGCCGCAGGGCCGCTATTTGCCCGGCACGCAGAGGACGAACCCGGAGCGATGCTTGGTGAAATCCGGCTGCGATTGGTCGATCCGCGTCTCCACGGAGACGGAGCACTTCCTGCCGTGCAGGCTGCACTGCACCGGGTGAGCCACGCTGATGCGCAGCGCGCGCTTCTCGCTGCAAAGCAAAGGCGGCGGTCAGCGCGGCTCCCGCAGCCGCCGTGCGACGCCCAGCCCCGCAGCGCGGCGGCCCCGCAGGTCCCCGTGTGAGCCGCTGCACGCGGAGCCGCGGCCCCGATCCCGCTTAGGCTGCTATTTTTGCTCCGTCTTAGCGGGCCGCGCTGCAGGCTGAGGTCCGCGTCACACGGCGGCACGGAGCGCCGCACGGCCTTCGGAGCGGCCGCGGGGCAGCGCCAGGCGCCGGGCTCCGTGCTCGGCGACGAGGGGAGCCGGGTTTCGGCCACCCACCGAAAGCACGCAGCTCCCCGCTCCCCGCACAGCTGAGGCGGCGGAGGGACCGGAGGCGTCGCTCAGAGCCGAGCGGGGCACAGGAGACCCCCGACATCATCCGGCACAACCCCGCCCCGCAGCGCCCCGCGGAACGGGGAAAAGAGCTCGGAGAAAAGCGGAGGGGCTGAGGGAGGCCGGGGTCACAGAGCGGCGACCCCAGTGCTGGGGCTGCAGATAAGGCTCAGTGCTGCCATGCGGGGCCGGGGCTGTATCTCCTCCCAGCACGTGTGGGGCAGCACAACGATACCGAGGTCGGAGGGCGTCCCCAGTTCTGCTCCCCAGAAGCAGAACAATTCCCAGAGCACTTGACAAGGCTCTGCCTTTCTTCTCCCCTGGTTCAAAGCCTGCTGTCATTTATCCCCTACAGAGCTAAAGCTGCTCTGTGGTCTGCGGGATGACAAACGTGGCTGCTAAGTAGGGAATTCCCAGGAAATCTCATCAGCAAAGCAGCTTGCAACAAACACAACACACACCGCAGGCAGCGTGTTAATATTTCACCTCCTCCATCAGGAGAAAGATTTCCAAGCGCAGGGGGGCCCACATCCATGGGGTGCAGCTCCGGCACCCAACGGCCGCCCCATCTCTCAGCCATCCTGACGTCTGGCAAAGATGTGGGGAAAGGCTCCCACCTGGCTTTTGGCTTTGGTACAATCCAACCTTGCCACAAAATGCCCCGGTGCTGCATTTCTAATGAGAAACCACCATGCCAAGAGTGTGATTCAGCCCCTGGCCATGGATGGAGTGAAAGCAGCATCGGAAATGCAGCAGCACCCCAGTGATGGAGGAGCACTTAGGAAGATGAAGGCAGAGTGCTTTCCTGGCTCTGACATCACAGCTCCGTCCCTGCACAGGATGAGCAGCACTGAACTGTCTTGTTCCCAGCACTGCTCCTTGCTGGTGCCCAGCAGGGCTGCGTGCTGCAGATGCAGCTCAGGGCTCCTGATGGCCACGTCCCTCCTGAGATGTTGGTTTAGAGTTCATAGAACCATGGGCTCATAGGATGGTTGGGTTGGAAGGGACCTTAAAGGTCACAGAAACGTGGGATCATGGCATGGTTGGGTTGGGTTACATGGGGTTGGGTTGAGTTTTGTTGGGTTGGGTTGAGTTGGGTAGGGTTGGGTTGGGTTGGTTGAGTTGGGTTTGGGTGGGTTGAGTTTTGTTGGGTTGGGTTACATTGGGTTGGGCTACATTGGGTTGGGTTGGGTTACATTAGGTTGGGTTGGGTTGCGTGGGTTGGGTTACACTGGGTTGTGTTGTTGTGTTGGGTTGAGTTGGGAGGGACCTTGAAGACCACAGACCCCATAAAACCACAGCACAATCAAGTTGGAAGGGACCCCAAAGTCTCACCCACAGCCACGGGCATCTCCATGGATGGGGCACCCACACTTCTTTGGGCGCCCTATGGGTAAGGAATTTCTGTGCTGATGGAGAAATTCCAGAAAAAATGACTTCATGTGCATCGTTCCGCCCTGAAAGAACTGAGGCTGTGGGGTTTGGGCAGTGCAGGCCACGACTGCAGGTAATTCAGCCGTGTGCCACTCACACTGACACGGGGATGGGGATTTTCTGCTGCCAGACAGCAGCTGAAGCAGCTGACGGTGCTGCACACCCTGTGTGCCCCCAGGACAGCAGCACAGCCCCTGCAGCTCTGCTCCCACTGCGGGATGGGGGTGGGGAGCAGGCAGGAGCTGCAGCCCTGGAATGGTCACACAGTTATGGTGTAAAACTGAGCGTGGGGCTCCCAGAGCTCTGTGGGATCACTGGAGCTCTGTGGGATCACTGGAGCTCTGTGGGATCACCGCCCCCCGCTGCCCTTTGATGGAGAGCAGTGCCTTCAGCATCACAGCTCACGTAACCATGGCAACCAGGCACCCAGCATCCCAGACCATGCGCTGTGTGTGCAGCCAGGCTGCTGCTGAGCATCCCCAAACCCCACATAACCCCACAGTGCCCAGAGCTGTGTGAACACCCCCAGATGTTCCCATTGGGGGGACGCCCCTCTGCACCAGCGCGAGATGCTTCCTTCCCTCCCAGCTCTGACCCTACATGGCTGTGCTCAGCACCATCTATTTCCAGATCTGATCTGAAAACCTCGATTTTCAATCCCTTGTCCCTGTCACTTAATGGGAAAAAAAAGTAATAATAACAAAAAAAAAATTAAGAAAAAAGAGAGAGAAATTAGTGACAGCTTCAGGGGATATGAGAACACCATAAAGAGGCTGTGGAGGAGAGGAGGGGAGGGAAGGGAGAAGGGAAAAAGGGAAAAGAGAAAAGGGAAAACAAAGAAAGGGAAGAGGGGAAAGAGGGAAGTGGAGAGGAGGAAAAGGGGAGGGGAGGAAAGGAAAGAGAAGGGGAGGAGAGGGTTGGGTTGGAAGGGAAGAGAGGAGAGGGAAGGGGAAGAGGAAAAGGGAGAGGGGGAAGGGGAAAGGTGGAAGGGGGAAGGGAAAGGAGAAGGGAAGGGGAAGGAAAAGGGGAAGGGGAAGGAAGAAAGAGGAGAGGAGAGGAGAGGAGAGGAGAGGAGAGGAGAGGAGAGGAGAGGAGAGGAGAGGAGAGGTCTGGGAATCAGTGCTAAGTGAAAGGCTCTGAGGCTGCCATCCCAGACACAGACTGGTGCTTTGCTGTGCTTTGTTCTCGTTGCTTCATTCACCCCACAGGAGTGCAGCTCACACAGGCGCTGGAACCGCTGCCTTATTTAAGCAGCTGACCTATTTCTGCTCTGCCTCCACCTCACTCATTCCTCTGCACTTCAGAGGAGCAATCAGCAGATTTGCACATGGCACTGAGAAATGTGCTCCATCCACA